GCTGGGCGCTTCCCCTCCCGGGCTCCAGCTGTGCTGGGGAAGCGCCGGCCGGGGGCGCAGGGTCTGGGGGCTGCCCGGAAAACCCTGAAGCCGGTAGCGCTGGGGCAGCCCTTTCCCCCTGGCTGGGAGTGGGAGGGAGGAGGGGGCGGAGTTAGGGCGGGGAAGGGACGGAGTTGGGGCGGGGCTATGGGTGGGGAAATGGGCGGGGCCAGGGCCTGTGGAGGGTCCTCTTTTTTTGATTTATTAGATATGGTAACCCTAGTGGCACACGCCAGGTCCTGGCTTGGAGGGGTGTGGGGAGAAAATGGCCAAGGGGCCGAGGGCTCCGCCATCAGAAGGTGCGAAGTCCCCACGCATTGTTGAAGGCGGGTATTTCCTGTAGGCCAGGCCGGGGCTGGGGGCTCTAGGGGCTTCCCCCAGCACTGTGGAGGAGACACTGAGAACAGCTGGCAGCCTGGGCAAGCCTGGCTCGGAGGGCGGGGCGGGAGGGATGCGGCATCGCGTGGCCAGTGCTTTGTGCCCACCGCCCGCGCGAGCCACCCACAACGTGCGGGGGGCCATGGCCATGGCGAGAGGCATCGCTGTAGCCGTGGGGCCCCCCCACCCCACGAGCCCCGCGGGGGTGGCTCAGGAGCCTGAGGCGAAGTGACTGAACTTCTTCGCGCCCTGCGGGAGGGGGAGACACGGGCAGCAGCGAGGGAAAGGGCTGCGCACGCGCAGAACTTCCCGGCGGGACGGAAACCGAGAGGGAGCGCCTCGACACCTGACGTCATCAGGCTGCGCGCGCCCTGCCGCCGGAAGTGGGCAGCATGGCGGCTCTGGTAGCGCGGCTCTGCCGGGCCCCTGGAACTGCCGCCGGGCTCCGCTGCCTCCTCCGAGCCGGCTGCGCCCGCCCCGCCGCCGCGCTCGCTGTCCCGACCCACGGCGCCCCCGGATCGCCGCTGGGCCTTGGGGGGGAGGCGGGGAGCGGGAGGCGGTCGCTGAGCTTCTCCGCTGCGGGGCTGGTGAGCTCGGCCCCCGGCCCCCTGCAGCCCTACCTGCGGCTCATGAGGCTGGACAAGCCCATCGGTGAGTCGCTGCGGGGCTGGAGGCCTGGGCTGGCGCCGTCGGGCGTGCCGGGGCGGGGCAGAGAGCCGCCCCCGCGTGCGGGCTGGGCAGAGCGGGGGCTGGGACCCCGGGTTCAGCCCCTTACCCCGCGTTAGCCTGCGGGCCCGGCCCTCCAAGGTGCTGAACAGCCAAGCGCAAGCGCTGTCCGCAGCTCTGGCAAGTCCCCGATTGCCAGGAGCCGGCCCTGGACAACACGGGTGGCTCAGTGGATGATTGCTGCTCATTCATGCCCTCTGAAGCACCTGGCATTGGCCATGATCGGGCCACAGGATGTTGGGCTAGATGGAGAATTGGTCTGTCCCAGTGTGGCCGTTCCTATGTTCTACAGCAGGCCCTGGTTCCCTCTCCTGGGGGAGTGATGTGCCTCTGACTCATGGGGATGTTGTGAGGATAAACTCCATGAAGGCTGCTGCAATTACTGGGGCCTTCAGGGGGGAGAGGTCATAGAAATGCAAAGGGTTGCTATAAAAATGGATTTCAGCAGCATTCACCTGCCAAGAGACTGTTGGATTGTCTGTCTGCTGCAAAGTTAAACTATCTACAGTAATACCTGTGTCTAGTCTGTACAGTCCCTGATCATTTTTTTTAGTGTACAGCTTTCAAAACCATCATTCATCCTACCACAATCTAAAACTCCTTGTTCTTTAGAGCCACAAAAAAGATACTAAGTACAAACTGCCTTTTGAGTTTGAGAGCACTTTTCTTTACAAAAGAAATTCCAGTGTTTGTTTTACAAAAATCATGTTATAATAATATTTCACGCAAGGGAAATCGAGTAATATAAAACACTTAAGGATCATTCAGGACAAAAGGATTGATTAACTGGGTTACAGGTGATCTAGTACAGCACCACTCAAAGGATCAGGTGCTGACAGTTTGGTGCCCACCAACACTGTACAATTATGGGAGAGGAAAATGTTTATCAAGGACAGTAAGGCAAATCTCTACACTTGTATATAGTGCCCTGGGATGTTTTATGTCTACGATTGTCATGTGGAAGCCTCTCCCGTCGGGGTAGTTAATCCACCTCCCCAAGAGGTGGTAGCTATGTTGACGGGAGAAGCTCTCTTGTTGACATACTGCTATCTACACGGGTGATTAGGTGGATTTTTTCACACACCTGAGCAATGTAGTTATAACAATATAGGTCTGTAATGTAGACCTGCCCTTACACAGAGCTCTTCTTCAGGTCTGGGAAACTTGCTCACAAGTTTAGACTAAGGCTATGTCTACACTGGCACTTGTGTCAGTCAGGGGTGTGAAAAAACACCCCTGATAGACGCAAGTTTCACCAACAAAAGCGCTGGTGTGAACAGCGCTATGTCAGCGGGAGACACTCTCCTGCCAACATAGCTACTGCAGCTTGTTAGGGGTGACTTAATTTTGCTGGCAGGAGAATGGCTACACGGGAGACCGTACAGCTGTGTCGCTATAAGGTCCGTAGTGTAGACATAGCCTAAGACGTTAACACACGTTTCAAGGGACCTTTTAAGGTGAAATGGCCTGTTAACACCCCTCCAGTCATAGGGGGAAAGAAAGAGGGATGGATGGCGGCAGGGGGAGAGGGGTTGTTTTATAGATTGTTGTAATAAGGCAGAAATCCAGTATCCTCTATTCTTGATAGAAGGATTGCAATTTGCTTATTCAGGTTAGACAGTCAATTAGTCAGCAGGTCATGTGACATCTGGAACATAAAATATTTTACAGATTGGCTAGACAATTCATATAAACTCAGGAGACCAATCCATTTTGGAATATGTCCGTGTGAATAATTGTAAAGGTAGTTAAATATTTGGTTTGGATAGAGATCACCTTTGAACAAGGTGGCTTACCAAACTAATATGTGTCGCATCTTATGTTCTCTGTAATGGCAGATTTTATAGCTACTGTTCAAACACTGCATTCCCTCCATGGTTCAGTTTTCTGTTTTTATTGGGAAAATAGACAAAGTGTCTTTATATTCAACATTTCAATCAAGAAGAAGAAGAAAAAGAAAAGTAAAAGAGCAGAATCAAATTGTGGAACTGCAGCACCTTGCACAGATAACCATCTTAGCTGCCTCTCAGCTTTGGTGTTGCAGTTTTAGAAGTTTTTAATTAGTAATTCAACACTTACTTACCTTTTATGGCGTGCTAAAGAGTAATTCCATTTATAATTTCTCTTTTTCTAATCTCTTTCAAATTCACTTTTCTAGGAACGTGGCTGTTGTATTTGCCATGCACATGGAGTATAGGCTTGGCAGCAGAGCCAGGCTGTTTTCCAGACTGGTATATGCTGTCACTCTTTGGTACTGGAGCGGTCCTGATGCGTGGAGCAGGCTGTACAATTAATGACATGTGGGATCGGGACTATGACAAAAAGGTAGAGAAAGCCCCATGGACTTGAAAAGAACAGACAGGCTCCTCTTAATGTTTGATGAGTAAGTAAATTGCTGGCCTTTTATTGAAGTAAGCCCTCTTCTGTCTTTCACCAAGACAAACTGGTTGTTTGTCTGGTAGAAATACTGGCTTGTCTAATGAAGACTACTTCCAAGTAATCTCTTTTTTTTTTCCCCCTCCTGGTTCAGAAGGCATATACTAAGTAATATGATGTTTACCATTCATCTTTGAATGGTAAAAGTGCTTTCTTTTTTGCATAACAGAGAACCACAAGTAGCAATGCAGTAGTGGTTCTTTGTTTTCTAGATAATTTGTATGTAGGATAAGGTACATCAGATAGTTGCAATGTAATCAGAGCTTAATCAACATAAATCCACTTCTTGTAATATTTTCCTAAAAACTGAGCAAAACCAACTGACATGCTTCTTTTAACCTTGTTAGCCGTTATCTATCCAAGAATTATCAGGGATTTCTTTAGCTGCATTTTGTAACTTTTCAGGTATAAATTTTTGCCAAAGGTGAATTTTATACTCTCTTTCTTAATTAAACTGGTGGCTATAGTAATGTACCCCAGATAAGAATGAGCTTTTTGTAATGTCAACTTGCGGTTTCCTCAGTAATTTTACACTAAGGGCACGTCTTCACTGGCAACACTAAAGCGCTGCTGCAACAGTGCTTTAACATGGCTTGTATGGTCATGGCATAGTGCTGGGGGAGAGGTCTCCCAGCGCTCTAAAAAACCCACCTCCGCGAGGGGAGTAGCTACCAGCACTGTTGCACTGTCTACACTATAGCACTGAAACTTGCAGTGCTCAGGGGAGTGTTTTTTCACATCCCTGAGGGGGAAAGTTGCAGCGTTGTAAAGTGCCAGTGTAGACAAGCCCTAGGAGAAGATTGGATAATTTGACACTGTTGTGTTCTTGGTGTGTGGTAATAAAAGCTGCTTCCCTTATGGAGTCACTTGCATAATTGGGATCTAAATACAACAAAATAATGAACTTAAATTAAATTGACAAGAATGTAACAGTAAGGAGTTTAAAATTCATATAGGAAATTATTTTACAAATAAAACCTCAGACAACTGTCTGTGAGAGTGGGTTGGGGGTGTTTTAATGGTGGTATGTCTAGTTAGTGGTCATTTTGTTGATTTCCTGACTAAAACATCCCTTGCTTGGTCTTACCCACAGCTGAATTTTTCTTGAATGTTAGAGTTAAATTAGTGCAGCCATTTTTGAGTTGCACGAAGGTGAAGATGATACTTTCTATGGCCCCAAAAATATTTTTTATTGTGTCTCACTTAAACTGCAGATGTATAAACTTCTAACTTGGCATAATTGTAGTCTTAACTGAGAGAGGAAAATCGAGCCAAACTTAAAGGAAAATACCTTAGTATTGTTAAAGTGTGCACAAACAACACTTTGGTTAAATTTTTAGAGCGCTGTAAGCAGGTGGCATTCTTACCTGGCTCTGAGCGTACAGCTGTTCTGTATAAAGTCTAAAACTTACACCTTCCCTAGGGTTTGGTTTTATTAATTTAGATAATGTAAATTCAGCCTAAACTTTCTTCCCAAACTTGGTTGCTCGTAGAGTTTTCCCTGCTGACCTCTCTGCCCCTGAAAGAGGTTCCGTTGCCTTCTATATCCTGCTTGGAGCTAATTGAATCTATCTGCTAGTATGATCAGGAATGACTATACAGCATCCTTATGTAGGGTTCAAGCATTTTATGCAGGATGAGTCAACAGAAGGAGCCCTGTAACTCTATTTATAATCCTAGAATCTTCCCCCCATTACAGACATCTTAGTTCAGAAACTCTTAGAATGTTTGAACAAAATTGCTCTTAAAATAGGGATATTCAGTGCAAAAAGTTAATTTCTCAATATTGCACTGAGCACACAAATAATAAAATTCAAATCTAAACTTTTTATAGTAGCTCTAATTCATCCTCATTACACATAATCCTGCTTTCATTTTTAAAATGCTCCATGTTTTAGTAGTAGATGTTAATGTTTATTCATAAATATGTACCATATACAGGATGTGAAATGTGGTAGAGGTACTATTGGTGTAGGAACCTTAACTTTTGAATTCCCTGACTCGTGGGCTTAATTTTCCCACCTTACTTTGCATTAAGATATGAGTTTTGCCTATAATGTGTAGTTTAACTCAGTGTATTGGATTTAGTATTGAAACTATTCTTTCTTTAGGTTTTAAGAACAGCAAGTCGACCAATAGCTGTTGGAGATATCTCAACTTTTCAGTCCTTCGTTTTTCTTGGGGGACAGCTTAGCTTGGCTTTGTGTGTCCTTCTGTGTCTAAATTACTATAGGTAATGTATGTGTGATCTTTTATTCTTGTACTGTTTCGCTACCAGGCTAAAGCTAAGCATGATGAATTTCAACAGACAAGGCAGTTTTTTGAGACAGCAACCAAATCCATGATTTTAGAACAAAATAATACTTTCAGTCTTAACTACAGCATCATTCCTTTGATGCTACAGTATTGTTTCTTAGACTAGGGAATAATGAGAGTACAATAGAATTATTTAAAGTAAACCATATAAAGTCTCATAATGAACTTCTTTCATTACAGTATTGCCCTAGGAGCAGCCTCTCTGTCTCTTGTGATCACTTATCCCCTGATGAAGAGAATCACGTACTGGCCACAGCTGGTTTTGGGTGAGCTTCAAAATTGCTAGTTTCCCTTCTTTCAGACATAATTTTATTTTTTTATTTTTTAGTTTTCTGGCAAAATCTTAATAGTTGAACTTCAATATCAAATGAAGTTGCCTGAAACTACAAATAAAGTCATTGGTATGTCCTACATTTCTTAAACAGATAGTAAAACACATGGAGTTTCTTTCCCTCATGTAGTTCCTCCTTTCCCCACGCTCTGGTGTTGAGAAATAATTGGTTTGTCACCTGAGTACCGAGTGGGAGATGTGGGACATTTTTCTCCCAGTCTCTGGAAATCTTTCTTAAATTGTATTTCACCCTGTATTACACTCTTAAACATTTAAATTAACTGGGGTAAAAAGATGCATTGCACTGTATTCCAGCTTGACCCAGTTTGGTATCCTACCTTTACATTTTGTTTCACATATTTTTTCCACTTTTAGTAACCGCTTTTAATATCTACCACCTTTAGTAACCACCACTATTGTGTCTACTCTGTTCTCCTTCCATTTCCCTTCTTTAACAGTTTTCTAGAGCTAACAAATATTAAGCTTAAGGCCCGACATTTAAGAACATGCTTAACTTGAGATATATGGGTATTCCTGCTGACTTTATTAGGACTAGTCACATGTACAGCTGTTTGCAAGATGGGTGTGTGTGTCTGTTAGTTAAATCAAATATATTTTAGAGAATGTGTTGCTATTTATACTGTGTAATATATAGGTACTTAGATTTATTGCTACTCAGTTAAAAAATTGTAGATAAATGTTACAAACCCAATGTGATATATTATTGGGCTTGTTTTTCTTCTTGTTTGAACACTCCACTCTTTTGAAATTTTAAAAAAGAAGAAAAAAAAAGAAAAAAAGAAAACATTGCACAGTGCAATGTACTGATAACAACTCAGCTGTCTGCTCTTCAGATACCATATGGTTTCTCTGTTACTGTCCCTAATAGTAGCAGTTAGCCAGCATCCTCATCAGTGCATTCTCAACAAATATTTCAGAGACTGGAATGTTAGTCACTTTCCTTCTGCTGCAGGTGCAAGAAGAGCATGGAAACCCAGGGATTGGTAGAAGGGAGACGAGTGGTGTTTCCTACTATGATCAGCACTCCTGTTTTCTCATATAACTCCTTTCTTTTCCCATGAGAAAATAATCCTCCCTTTTCCCCCTTCCGCATGTATGAGTTCAGTGTTTCTGGGTTCATAGATTCCAAGACCAGAATGGACCATTGTTATAATCTAGTCTGACCTTGTGTATAACATAGGCCATACAACTTCCCCAAAATAATTTCTAGGGCTCGTCTTCTGGAAAAATATCCAATCTTGATTTAAAAATTGCCAGTGAGGGAGAATCCACCATGACCCTTGATTGGTTAAATCCACCATGACCCGTTACAAATTTACACCATTATTTCCAATCTGAATTTGTCTAGCATCAGCTTCCAGCCATTGAATAGATATACCTTTTTCTGATAGATTGAAGAGCCTGTTATCAAAATCTTGTTCCCCATATTGGTACTTATAAACTGTAATCAATGTTGTTATAGCTGTGTTGGTCCCAGGAGATTAGAGAGACAAGGTGGGTGAGGTGATGGCTTTTACTGGAGCAGCTTTTATTGGTGGGAGAGACAATGTGTGATGTTTAGTTGTGATGCGCTGAGTAAGTTTCCCAGACCTGAAGAAGAGCTCTTTGTAAGCTAGGAAGCTTGTCTCTCTCACCAACAGAAGTTGGTCCAATAAAAGATATTACCTTATGTCTCTAAACCAGTGGTTCTTAACCTTTACTGCAGCCTGCACCCCTTTGGTTCTCAAAATATGTTCTCGCACCCCTTATCAAAAATCATTGAAGTAGGTCAGTTCTTTAAACCTAGATATATTTTTGTTTGTATATTACAGTAATTGTTAAAAAATGTATAATGTTAATAAATACATAGGGTTGATGAAACAAAGTAGTTATACATGCCTGTGCTTAATTTGTGTTTTTGATTTACCTTCTAAAAAAATCTGGCACGTCTCAAACCCCCAGAAAGGGCCTCTCGCACCCCAGGTTAAGAACCACTGCTCTAGACTGTAAGCAAGTCGCCCCTTCTCTTTGTTAAGCTCAAGGAGCCCAATCTATTTAGCTTGTCATTGTAAGGCAGGTTTTCTAATTCTTTAATCATTCTTGTGGCTCTTCTTTGAACCCCTTCTCCAATTTATCAACATCCTTTATGAACTGTGGGCACCACAACTGGACACAGTACTCTAGCAGTGGTCGCACCAGAGCCAAATACAAAGGTAAAATAACCACCCCAGTCCTGTTCAAATTTCCCCTGTTTATGCATCCAGAGATTACACTAGACCTTTGGGCCACAGTGTTGCACTGGGATCTCATGTTCAGCTGATTATCCCCACAACTCCCAAATCTTTTTCAGAGTCCCTGCTTCCCAGGAGAGAGTCCCCCATCCTGTAAGTGTGTAGGGATTAAAAATCAAAAAAACACACAGATGCTTGAGTGTCAAATGTTGATAAAAAAATATAATTTAGATTGTTCCTGACTCTTACATTTTTAGAAGCCTATAATTCTGTATATTTTTCTTATTTCTGTTACTTACAGGACTTACATTTAATTGGGGAGCCTTACTTGGGTGGTCTGCCATCAAAGGTTCATGTGATTGGTCGGTGTGTTTGCCTCTGTACTTCTCTGGAGTTATGTGGACATTGATATATGACACCATCTATGCACATCAGGTGAAGTAATAACATTAACTGTTAACTTCCTCATTGTTAGTTATGTGTGTATTTATGTATAAAACTCACTACTTTGGACTGGCATAGCACTACTAATCTTCCCACTGCAATCAGAAGATTTAAAACCTAGAAATGCTTTTAAGAGATTTTTCTCGTATCCACTGGTTTTCACCCCTCTAATTACCCTATTATCGCATGTTTTTCTGCTCACTGTACTATCTGTGTAAATTAGTTTATGAACGTCTCTGAGTAGAGCCCTTACTGTTAAAGTGCCGTGTATATCTAGGTATGTCACAGTCAATAGCACCCGTCAAGTGCTCAGCAGTTTTGAGAACCAGGCTGCTTATTTCAGTGCCTAAAAATGGGTTTAGGAGCCTAACATTAGACACCTGTTCTTAAAAACCTTGGCCTTAAGGCAAAGCCTTTTCTATTACATCCCTAAAACTACTTTCTCCACCCACGACTTCTCAACTTGTGAATTGCTAGGGGTATTCTGTTTTTTTTAATAACCTTCTTTATTCCAGGATAAAAGAGATGACCTGGTCATTGGTGTGAAATCAACAGCACTACGGTTCAATGAAAACACAAAGCAGTGGCTCAGTGGCTTCAGTGTTGCAATGCTCGCGGGTCTGAGTGTGGCAGGAATAAACTGTGATCAGACTTTCCTCTATTACACAGCTGTGGCTGCCATCGGTGCTCACTTAGCTCACCAGGTTTGATCTGATTTTTGTACTTCTTTTCTAAGTGGAAGCTCTAGATTCCAAATCCTGTATCAGTTTACGTAAAATATTCAGCCATCTTGTCTCAAACTGCTGCAGCAAAAAGAAGGCTTTTCAATAATAGCTGCAGGCAGGTCTTGTCTTTATACACCTAAGCACACAGCAGCCTTTTCTCATCTCCTAGTGTGTTTATTGTAGCCATCACCATGGCATTTGGAGGCATAACTTACAGTACAATAGGTACATAATAGAGTAGAACCTCAGAGTTTCAAACACCTTGGGAATGGAGGTTGTTTGTTACTCCGAAATGTTTGTAACTCTGAACAAAATGTTATGGTTGTTCTTTCAAAAGTTTACAACTGAACATTGACTTAATACAGCTTTAAAACTTTTATGCAGAAAAAAAATGCAGCTTCCCCTTTATTTTTTTAGTAGTTTGCATTTAATACTGTACTGTATTTGCTTTTTTCTTTTCCTCTGCTGCTGCTGCTGCCTGATTGTGTACTTCTGGTTCCAAATGAGGTGTGTGGTTGGCTGGTCAATTTGTAACTCTGGTGTTGGTTACTCTGAGGTTCTACTATACATTAGGATTATTCGCTTAAATTAAAGGTGTATAAAGGTTAGGGGGGTGGGGGGCTAAATGGCCCAGTGGCTTGGCAATGGATGCAGAATCTTTAAGTGGGGTTACGCTCTGAAAAACAGCAATGGAAAAAAATGTTGGTTTTGTCTCCCAGTAACTCAGTGAAATTGGCACCGCTTACAAATGAATACATATTTTCTAACTGCAAGCCCTGCAAACTCATTCTGGGATCTGAAAGGCAGTCTGGGTTCCCTTTGTCTCGTACTTTATCACCAACCGCCAATATCCTACAATTGTCATTTAGTTAACAATTCTGTGTAAGTGCCAGGAAACAATCCAGTTCACTGTCTCATACCTATATTGGTTTTAGTGATCTGATGTGTAAAATGTAGTAAAAATCCAACTTACTTTAATCAATAGAATGAGCAGCTAGGACTCATTTTTATATACTCACATTTCTGATTTTTAAATTCAATCATCCGTTCATATCCAGACCTAGTTTGTAGTGATGGTAAGTAGTCTGTAGAAAATGAACCGGTGGTCTCAGTAGTAGACTGGAGGTAGTAGAAGTGTAGAGGTAGTTCCTGGTAATAGAGAAGTGTCCATATCCCAGCTTGCAGCCTTGTTAGTAGTTAAGAATATAATTGGCATGGAGTCTGATCTATGATCTTTCCCACATCAGGGTTCTGAGGTGCATTGGGGTGATTTGGGGAAGCTCGCACATCTGATACAGGTGCTGTCCTCTATGGATAGATTTCATTGTCTCTGACTGCTGGCCTGGCATCTTTCATGAGCACTAAATTCCCTCTTTCTTATCATGCAAATATTGAATGGCCAGAATTCCCTTACATGGGAGTCGGCACAGCATGAGAACTTCTGTTCTCCAGACCAGGTAGGCTTGGATATTTGAGAATGAAAACATAAGACTCTGGGGAGGGGAGTATAGAACAGTTATCAAGAGCAACATAACCGAACATTCATCCCTGTGCCCATGAAAATGCATACACAGAAGTGATATTCAGAAGGTAATTAGGAATTCAGCTGTCTTTAGTTTGGTAGCTGTTATGACCTTTTTCAGAAAGTTAATTGCAGTCGTCTTTTGCTATTCATTTAATCCCGTCTCATCTCTTTTCCCACATGCCCCCGTCTTGCACTTGCTTCTCTGTTGCTTGGTCGTCATCCTGTTTTGTACCCTGAACATCCCACTGCAGCTCGTTTTAAGTAGCAGTGGCCCCCAGTGGAGGCAGCTAGGCTGGCTAATCCTTATTTCCAGCTGCTATTGCAGGTCTCCTGTGAGTTTTCTGTGGATGACAATTTGAGAACCCCTTTCCTGCGAACTCTCGTGTGTGTTTGTATTGAATCTTTGAGACAGATTTTTTAAGGTACAGATAATACACTATGCATCTGTTGTCTGTATCTTTTGGTGCTTAAATACCTTTAAAAATCTGGTCCTTAATATCCATACATGTTACTCATTCTCTGTACCTTTCTGGTATATCTTCATCCATTTGTTAAGCACATTTAGGCAGACCTCTGTGTCTATATCTAATCCAGTGCAGGCACGGAAGTTAGCCTGTGTGGAGCTCATTGAGTGTCCCTTGAGGTAGGGACCTATGTCTTCTCTGAAGTGTCTGGCATGCTTGTGGTACTATAGATAATAACAGAACATTATATTGTACTTCCACAGATTTACACTTTGGACATACACAAACCTGAAGACTGTTGGAAGAAATTTACCTCTAACCGCACAATCGGACTTCTACTTTTCATAGGGATTATAACTGGAAATTTATGGAAAAGAAAAAATCCCAAAGAAATGAATGCAATCAGCACTGATATTTAGTCTTTATTTTAATAAAAAAAAACTATATTCAAAAGTAAAAGCATCTTATCTGCAACGGCTACTAGTTTTGCTTAATTCAAATACTTGGCCAAAGAGTCTGTTTTTAAGAAGATACTTTAGCAAACAGAATTATTGTTAGTGTGTGCCTTGTAAATACACTTTAAAGACTGAACTAGCAGTGGTCTTGACAACTAAGCTTCTCAGCTGCTTGTGGTGATCTTTTCTTGTAAAATCCCTGTCCTCCCTCTTGCAAGGAATCTTTTGTAAAAGGTTGACTACTGCCCTGGTAGTCTGTAAAACTCTCAGTAGGTTTCTTAGAGTCATGGTTCGTGTGAAAATGTAGTCATTTTGTAATGTAAAATAAAACCTGCTGTGTGAAGTTTTCATGGTTTGATTTTTGCAGTAGTTTTTTGCATGAAATATTTAGCTCCAGTAAATCGTTTTGTATCCTGCCAAGTTTAGAAGCATTTATATTTTGGTTCTGGGTAATAAGTAGAAGAATGACTTGCCTGTCTGATTGGCCGGCTATGATTCCAAGCCAGGTGGAAATGCTTTGCTGGAATTTATTCATGGGCCTCAATTTTTTGCCTTTTTTAAATCCCTTTTGAAAACAAACTTCTGCAGCATTGCTTACAAAAAGTGAGCTGATCTGCCAAGAATTAGTGATTGGAATATGGGCTATATATAACAACAAACCCAAAATAGCCCAGAACTATTAAAAAGGATACGTAGCCGTTCCAGTTGTTTGATGTTGCAAATCTAATCATGTCTTACTTTCACTCCTTTGTGTTTATTACCCTTCAAGATTGTAAGATTTCCAGAGGAAGGACTTGTCTTTCTCTGTGTTCTGTAAAGCCTCTAACATGCTCTTGGGCACAGTAAAAGTAATAATGGGATGACAAATACGTAGGTGAGAACTACTTAGTATTTTTATTTGTTTCTATTATGAATTGCATCATTTAGTAGGTGGTCCAACAGTTCTTTTATTGGCCCTTAATACAGGGCTGTCTCCTGCAAGGTTCTGGGTGCTTTAATATTCTATTGAAGTCAAAGGGTTGAGGGTGGTCAGCCTCTCACAGGAGTAAGTTCATGGATTGTGACTTTCAGTAATGTCCTTGATAGTGTGTGATTTACAAGTGAAGTTGCTCAGCCAACCTGTCATTCCCTCACTAATGAAACTCTGTAAAGAGAATGTACTGTGTAACTTTTGGAGTTAGTTTCTATATAAGGAACAGCAGACACACCTATGGCTGAGTTGCTTCCTTGGCATTTCTTTTAGATGAGGCAGATGTAATTTCCTGTAGTAATGAGCTCTGACAGTTCTTGTAAGTAAGGCACCACACCCTCAACCAAGTTCTTGTGGGCAAATCACTGCCCCCACATAGAGTCCCACTGAAACCACTAGCCCATGGATACACGGATCTGTTTGCACTGAGTTTATTGCAGGATTAGGCCTGACTCGTTTTTTATAAGGCTTCCATCTTGCTTTTATAATTCTTTTGTTAATTATTTTTTCTCAAAACAAAATAATTTTCTCTTACTCTTTGAACAAACAAAATATTTTAAGCAAAAAGTGAACAAATTAAGAATCTTATTCACTAAGGATGCATTTTTCAATTTAGTCCTACATACACGTCTCCAAGTATTTCAATATATTTTAGCAACTCATGATAGTTTTGTTTTTCCTGTTAGATGTTTGGGCCAAGTTTTTTCTAAAACTAGGTAAATTCTCTCTTGTCCTCTATTCTGTGTTTTTTTTTAAATGTTAAATGGCGTGTGCTCTAGATATCAGGGACTTTGAGACTTTAGATCTGCCTTTAAATTAACTGTTTCTAATTAAGGTATTGTGCGGTTTTAGGTTTTAAGCCATCTACTCAAAACTGTGGTGTTGTCATTAGTGATTCTGGGTCACCAATAAGGAGAGAGAGAAAGCCATGTTAACTTTTAGCTTCCTTAGAACTATTGGTTCCCTCTTGCTCCCATGTTGTCAAAAGAGGTGGGGGACAAAACTATTAAAAGAATATAATTAAGGTAATAGCACGGTGAGAGTGGCTCCGTTGGTTTGTTCTTTCCTTAAAATACAAACAAACCCCCCCTCGTATTCTCGAAGTAGGTGGAGAATTTCATGTCATCCTCATCTTGGAGAAAAGCACAGAACAAAATACACAACCCCAGTTTATTTATCAGTACCAGTTTAAACTATTGGCTTACTAGCCAAATCTAGACCAGTGCTTTCTGGAAGCCTCTATTCTATTGAGGATTCTGGCCTTTTAAAAATAGTTTCCCATGTTCCAGATTCTCAGTTATGAACATGTTGCATCTGTCTCTCCAAATCATTAGTAATTATCAGTATAACTTGTCCATAGGTGTATGCATTTGCCTATTTGACTTGTGTTGGCTCTCTGAGAAGAAAAGAAAGATGCTGCACCTGTCACACTTCATTCCGATCCATTTCACTCACACCAATGCCACACTGAACAAGGAAACTCCGAACAGGAGAGTGACCTGAATCCTTAAGGAAAACAAAACCAAATCTGAATAGTGCCTTAAGAAGACAGACCGCACCCTGTCACATACGAAGAATGGTAGGCAAACGCAAAATGAAGTCTTTGACCATGTCCATGTAGTCTCAGGATTGTTTTAAATACAACGGTCTACTCTGGATGGGTGGCTTGAAGGTGTTCAAGATCCTTGAAATTGCATCTTCAAACCAGCTGGATAGGGTTTTTTAAGTGGACAGATCCATCCAAAATGTTCTCTCTTTTCCTAAAATTGGATTTTTGTGTATTAACTTCTCCCTGTAGTATGTATAATCCCCACCCTCAGTTTGGAGTTCTGAAGTAGTATCTTCAGCTATATTTGGTATGAGAGCTTGACATTACTGCATGATTTCAATCCTGTAACTTTTGCCCGTAATGAGAGATGCAGCTTAGGTAGTTAAGGTACACCGTGGTGTGTGAGTAGCCTCACAAACCCGAAAGGCCAGCACTGGCACGGATAACCAGTGATCTCTAGGGAAGAGCTGTGATAGCTCTCAGCCCTGCTGATTGATTTAAAATTTTAAATAGATTTACATTTTCAAAGCAATCTTCAAAAGGAGAAGGCTTGGGGGTGGGGAAAGAGTTAATGAAAAGTATGGAAGAGAACATATGTATACATTTTTGCAAACCAGATCCCAGTTACCCTAAAGATCAACTTCAACTATTCTGTCCCCATCTATTCTCTATGTAATGGTGCGGGGGGGAAGGGGCAAGAATCTCAAGTTCCTTGAAGTTTATGGTTTTGCTTCTACAAATCTTGATCTCCCAGGGGTAGATCTACCTGCAGGGGTAGAATGTAGATACCCTGGTATAAAGAGCACCAGTGTGCTGAACTGCCGGAAATTCATCCTTGGTATGGAGGCTATTGAAGGCCCTCCTAGACCACATAAACCTTGTACAGCCAGAGATTGTAGATGTCTTAGGTCTCAGTAGGCTAGTATATAAGGTATTCAAGGATTAGGAATACTAGATCTGTGATTGTGTGTGTGTGTAGTGGCCCAGAAATCTTCCAAAGGGGCTGAATTAATGCCCCAGAGCTTCTTTCTGAGATGGGAGATGAATTCCATCCCCTTCGTAAACCACCCATGGAGTTCCCCAGATACAATCAGGTTACTTAGGTTGGGATTTTCAAAAGTAGCTAGAGGATTTAGGAGCACAAGTTCCATTGACTTTCAGTTGGACTGGTGCTCCTGTAAGTCATGTAGGAGCATTGGAAAATCCCAATCTTGGTCTTCCACGGCAGAATTTCAAATTACACAGCGTAGCATCTCTGGAGCTAGACCTGTTAAATCAGTAAACAAACATTTTGAAGTGCACTGATCTTTATTTTTTGAACTGCAACAATTATTACAGAAATCTCAATTTTTGTTTTAGTCACAAATGTGTACTTAATGTAAGCATTATGGCCCCCATTCTCAATTGACTTATACTAGTGTAAATTGTGCTGTAGAGTCAAACCAGTGTAAAACTGATGGTATAAAGAATCAGTCCACTTATGTCAAAATTTTTACCCATTATCATTTTATGTTTACGCGCTCATTTCTTCTGTTCTCCCTTTCTTTCTCCCATTCATTTTCTTTCGTTCTTTCTCTGTTGGAACTTTTTTTTTACCCCTTGCTTACTTATTTTTTTAATTTAAAAAGCCAATTTTCACAATGGTTTTAATCATACCAAACTCAGGACATTTTAAATTTCGTTTTCTATAACTAACTCAACCACATTGCTTGTGTACAGACACCGGGGTGGCCAACCTGAGCCTGAGAAGAAGCCAGAATTTACCAATGTACATTGCCAAAGAGCCACAGCAGCCCCTCATCAGCTCCCTCACCCAGCTCCCAGCGCCTCCCACCCACCGGCAGCCCTCCTTCAGCTCCCTCACCCAGCTCCCAGCGCCTCCCACCCACCAGCAGTCCCACCAATTAGCGCCTCCCCTTCCCTTCCCGCACCTCCCAATCAGCTGTTTCGTGGCATGCAGGAGGATCTGGGGGGGAGGGAGGAGCAAGGGCAGGCTCGGGGAGGGGGCAGAAAGGGGTGGAGTTGGGGCAGGGGTTGAGCAGTGAGCACCCCCCAGGCACATTGGAAAGTTGGCGCCTGTAGCTGCAGCCCCGGAGTCGGTGCCTACACAAGGAGCCGCATATTAACTTCTGAAGAGCCGCATGTGGCTCCGGAGCCACAGGTTGGCCACCCTGATATACAAATTGACAGCCTATATTCAAAATGTAACAAGGGACTTGAGTTACTATGTGAACAAAGATTTAAGTTCTGAGTTTTGCAAGATTAAATCTCACCCTTGGTATTGCATAATGTATTTCTTTTGTATCTAACATACGTCATTTTGTGATGCAAAAACAGATGACTGTTCTTACAAAATATATTTTCAGGTCAATTTGTGATTATCCTATAATTAAATTCCTTGATGACAAATAGCCAATAGCAGTTTTGGAAAGCCGCCTAGTTAATTTACATGTTGCAATTTGTGTTGCATATGGATATATAAGGGACTTGGTTGAAGTTGGACCAAGAAAAGCGATTTCTTGATCTCTCTCTCCAAGCCTGCTCTGCAAGTGGTATGTGCATATTTCTTTGTTTAGTTTGACAGATTATTTGGCAAAGTTCAATGTATTCAACTTGCAAAAGCTGTTAGCTGCTGAGTTGGTTATTTATGGGAAGGGAAGTTAGTAAAAAGTGAAAATGTTTAGTTTTCTGCTCAACAAACCAATTAAGGTAAAATGAAATATGCTGTAAATCCTATTAGTGGGCATTTGACAAAATTATGCACCTAAACTGAAAAGCAGAAACTCATTTTTGTTTGTTTTTTTTGCCTGACACTGTTCAGATTGTAGT